GGCAATTAAATTCTTTCCCAGATAGGCTTCTCATAAGAAGAACTACCTATTAGGATGGATTTATACCCTAAATAATGTTGTTGTAATACATTTAAAATTTATATAAAATTAATTATAAATATTATAATTAATAAATTTTAACTTAATTCTAAAAGTACAAGTTAAAAATTTTGATTATTATTTAAGTAATCTAGGAGGCAACTAAATTCTTTCACAGATAGGCTTCTCGTAAGAAAAACTCCCTATTAGGATGAATTTATACCCTAAATAATGTTGTTGTAATACATTTAATTATTAATATCATATATTTTTAATTGACCAATTATTAATTCCTCCCCAAGCTGAAGCTGTAGGTAAGAATTAGCTACCAAATAAAATATTTGGTATAAAAAATATTTCGTACAAAAAATAATTGATGTATTTCTTATTTAATGGTAAAAAATAATTATTTAATGATCACATATCAAGTTAATAATAAAATATGTTAATTATTTTTTTATAAAATAATTAACTTAAAATAAATTAGTAAATAATAAGAATCAAATTAAAAATATTCATAATAATTGAGAAGTCAAATTAAAGATTTAACCAAAAAAAAAACAAATATATAAAGAAATATTTTTATTTTTATTTGTTTTTAGTAATATTTGTGTAAGAGAACAAATTAAATGTCGTAGACGCCAAAGAAAGGAACTAATGAGTAAAGAGTTTGAAGTCGTTGGCTATCTAAAAACAGTACTGTCCCTCTAGCATTGATTAACTGAGCTTGACTGGTTGCTCTCTAACTGGGTTGTTCACAAATTTGTACATGTCAGAAGCCACGTTAAAGTTCTTCACAACTAGCAACCACAAATATCTTATCTTACCAGCACTGCATGGAGTTTGCAAAGCTGTGAACAAATTCGGAACGTGATTAGGATTCCCAGTGTGGACCCCTTCTTAAGTAACGAAAGTGACAGGAAAGTAGGAAACCCCCTTTTAAATAAGGAAAATGACATAGAAAAGACTTGAGTAGGTATGAACCATGGGTGATGTTGTACCAACCCACTATTTTATATGATTTAAAAATTATTTAATTTAATTAATATTTTATTTCTTTATAATATTTTTTAAATAATTAATTATATAATATCAAAAAATATTAATTTATAAATTAAATTTAAATCCCCTTTTAAATAAGGAAAATGACATAGAAAAGACTTGAATAGGTATGAACCATGGGTGGTGTTGTACCAACCCACTATTTTATATGATTTAA